AGGAATTCATCATTAAAAAAACATGTAACTTACTTGCATCCACCGGCACCTCAATGCAACATCACGTACGGCTTTACCAGGCAAGATAGCCGCAATCTTTACGTACTTCATAAAATTTGGTTCCTCTTTATATCTGTATACATGGACATTGAAATGAAAATAATCAACACGTCATTTAGAGAGGGGGGAGAGAAAAACATTTACCTAATAAGTTATGTAGCTCAGACTCTTCATATTTATTAATAATACCATATCCAGCACCCAGGTCCAACAAGTATTTGGAAATGGGTATAGGATTCGGCCCTACAAATATGTAGAAAACTTTGAAAACATTGAAATACCCATATCTGACAATTACACCCAATTCATAGCAATAGCTAATAACTACCTTCTTAAAAACAGTTCTATAAAAAAAAGCATGAGCAAAAACACAGCAATCCAAGTAACATAATTAGATAATCTATTATGTAACTATGAATAATTCAGCTATATTACTTGAACTAGCAGCGCAAATTATAAGACATGCATACAAAATGAGAAACCGGATACATCACCTAAAAGGCTTTGAATAAGAAGCAGAACGAATTAATTATACATACTCTTCAAGAACGTCTTCCAGTATACGCTGCTCATCAGCAGACCATTCAACAGCCAATCCTGTGCCATGCTTGAACTCTGCAATGGAATCGAGGGAAGAGCCAGAAGGGTTGCCAGGTAGGATCAAAGTAGGGGAGGTGGTACTGGAATTCCCCGGCAAGATAGTTGACGGTGGTACAAGGTAACCACCGAGTGGAATCATCTCGGACCTGTTCATAATAGAACCTAAACTATTTCCATGGTGAAACCCCGTGAGCGACTCTGTCGTCATGGTTCCTTTTTTTTTCAGGCTATCTCACCCAGAATCCACTTCCCACAAAACCAAACCCAAAATCAAATGTGAAAAAGAAAAACTAAACTAATTTACTTCGTCCCCATCATCTTTTACACAGACAAGTTCCTTCAAAAGCGTTTCGAATTTCGTTGTTATCAAAACCCTACAATTGCATACAATTGAAATTAACATAAAGAAAATATAATTCCAAATCGAATAACAATCTCGAAAATTCAAATCCAAAACTGAATCCATAAAAATGAACTGAATAAAGAATCTTGAGCAGAACAACCACACGAAGAATAGAAGGAGAGAAGAATTTACTTTTCGGAGATCAACTTTCCGACGAAGCCTTAAGTGGTTTACTGTTTTTGCCTTTTTCTCCCGCACTGCTACACCACTGCTCTGCAAATACTATTTTTCACCTTTTTCTCAAGGCCTAACAGACGTGTTCTGGGTCGGGCCGAGTTAAGATTCCGATGCCAAAAAGTTGTCAATCTCGAACCCACGAGCCGAGTCGAGTTCAAGTATTGTTTAGTTCTACTCGAGTTGAAAACGCTAAAATAGAACTCAACTCAAATACTTCCGAGTTTAAAATTTTCAAGGTCGACTCGAACCCGAAATCCTGAACTGAAGCTCGTGAGTAACTCGAAAAAGGCTCGAAATGAAAAATAAATTTTTTAAACTTAACTCGATTGAAGTCTCAAACTCAAATCCGAATTTGAACCTTAAATATATGAAAATCTTACTGTATTTTTAAAAAAAATTAATAAATAAATGTTAATATTATTAATAATTTATTTTTTTAAATAAAATTTTAATATATTATATTTTCAAACTGCTCACGAGCTTTTCGAGTCGAATATCAAGTAGCTCGTTTCGGCTCGTTATGAACTCGAGTCGAGCTCGAGTTGAGTCCATTCGATCCGAGTATTTATCGAGCCTTGATCGAGTCGATCTCGAGTAGCTCGCGATCTGTCTCGTATCATTTACAGCTCTACCGGTAACATTGGCTCAAAACCCTAGACAAATTAATTATTTAATTCAATACGATATTTTTATTTTAATAACTAAGATATTTATTATGAAATTTTATTTAAAAAATTTAAAATTTCACTCAAAAATACAATTCACTACTAAATCAAACTCTTAAAACAACAAAGGGAAGAAGATCGAATATCTCAAGGTTACTAATTTTCTTAGATGAAATCACATATTCAAAGTAAATAACACTAATTACTTATCTTACTACACATATTTTTGTTAAAAGACAAACATCTGGTTTTATAATTAAGGGTCTGTTTGTTTGAATGTAATTGGTTTTTCGGAATTTGAATTACTGAAAAATGAATTACTGGAATTTGAATTTTGGAAAATGAATTACATTTCTGGAAAACGTTTTCCGGAATATGTTTTCCGTAAAATGAATTATATTTTTCTGAAAAACATCTGGAAAACGTTTTATGATGTTTGGAATATGTTATTTAAACTTTTTTTCCACTAGTTGAAGAGTTTTTTAAAAATTATTTATTATAAATATTAAATACAATAAATAATATTATTTATCATAAAAAAATTTTATTATTAAAAATAATTTATTTATTATTAAATAGTATTTTTATAATTTTATTAATAAAAATATTAATTTTTGTATATTTTATTGAAATAAAAATATTATAAATATTATAAATTATTTATTAAAGTAATAGTGTTATATTATGTTTTAAAAATATTAATTAGTATATTTTAAATATCTTTATTAAAATATTATTTAAATATATAAATAATAGTATTCATTATTAAATATATAAAAAAATTATTATATATTATTAAAATAAAAATAATATCTTATATTATTATAATATAATTGATTATTTTATATAATATTAAAATATATATTATATTATATAAATATTAATAAATTAATAAATAATATTTGATGAAAATGATATTAAAATATTTTATTAATATTAAATTCATAAAATAAAATTATTTTAGTATTTATTCTTTGAAGTGAAAAGTTCGGAAAAAGACTTACGGAAAATAAATCCGTAAGTCATTTTCCATAAAACAAAAAGGAAATTTTGTTACTAGGAAAATGAATTACGTTCAGGAAAATCAATTACGTGAAACAAACACTGGAAAACATTTTCCAGAAAATGAATTACGTGAAACAAACACGGGAAAACATTTTCCGGAAAACGAATCATGTGAAACAAACACGAGAATTCAGGGAAAACCAATTCCATAATTTCAATTACGGCAAACAAACAGACCCTAAGTGATAAATTTATCAATCACCAAGGATGGAACCGAGGGGGCTGATTGGTGGGACAATCGTCCCCACTGAAGATTTAAAATCATTATAAATTATTTAAAAAATCTATTTTTTAAATATGTTTTTATCCATTTTATTATTATGATGATTACTTTAAGTATCCAAACACACAATAAGCACAAAACCCAAGTAAGCTGATACCCATACCCTATAGCATTCTTCTTCTTCATTAATTCTTAGGTAATGTTTGGTTCACTGGAATTCCTTAGAATTGGTGGGAATTGGAATCCAATTTCACTATTTTCTCATGTTTAGTTCAAGTTTTCTAAGGGAATTGAAATCCCTCGTGGCTTCAACTTTCCATCAAATGAGGGAAAGTGAATTCTATCCAAGAATTGATAGAATTCAATTCCCTTGTTAGAGGAAATTGAAATTTGACCATACTACCCCATCAATCTTTTGATAACTTATTCATATATTGAATAAAAGTATTTTTTTTATTATTTCGGGTCGGGTCGGTTTCTAATTCATATATTTGGGTCGGGTGAAACTTTATTTTGGTCTGGTCGGGTCGGGTTGGTTTTTTTAAGTATGATATTCGGGTCGGGTCGAGTTCGGGTTTAGGGTGAAAAATACTCGACCCGAAAATATATATAATTTTACCTTATATATTTAGGAATAATTACAATAATACCCCTCTATATATAATTTTTTTCAATTAAGTCACTGTTTTTATTGAATAAAAATAATTTTTTTATTATTTCGGGTCTGGTCGGGTGAAACTTTATTTTGTTCGGGTCGGGTTGGGTTTTTAAAGTGTGATATTTGGGTCGGTCGGGTTTTTTTAAGTGTGATATTCGGGTCGAGTCGGGTTCGGGTTTAGGGTGAAAAAACCAGACCCAACCCGAAAAAAATATATAATTTTACCTTATATATTTAGGAATAATTACAATAATACCCCTATATATAATATTTTTCAATTAAGTCAATGTTTTTATTGAATAAAATATTTTTTATTATTTTGTGTCGTGTCGGGTCGAGTTTCTAATTCATATATTGAATAAAAATAGTTTTGGTATATTTTTTGGTAACTAATTAACATACTCCGATTGGAATGTATCGAAATATTGTTCTATCTTTTGGTAACTTATTAACATATTTTGATTGCGATGATTTTAACTTATGATGTTTATTAATATGATTTTTATAATTTATTAAAATGGATAATCAATCAATAAAATGAAAATTTAATATTTTTTAATTTTTTATAATATATTACTACATGTAAGTTGTAAAACAAATTAAAATAAAGCAAAAAAATAAGAAGGACAATTATGTCATTTTACATTATTGAAATCAAATTCATCTGACATGTCTGCGAACCAAACAGAATATGAAATTGAATTCCAATTCTATTTCCTGCCAACCAAACAGAATATGGAATTTGATTTAAATTCTTGACAGATTTCAATTCCTTCACAGATTCCAATTCCCTCAAAAACATTTCAGCGAACCAAACGCCACCTTAGGGTTTTCGGTCATTACATGCCATCTCAACACCATACTAACCTCATCACAAATATACATGAAAAGAAAATCATAAAACAAACACAATGATCTTTCCTTCTCCCTACTTGTTGATAACGAAATTGTTAGAAACGAAACACAGATTTGTTGTAATCGTAGGCTTACTTTCGATCATTCCAAGGTACACTACTACAAGTGTAAATCTCGAGACCCTTTTCCTATATAAATAATTAACCCTAAATAACCAATCTCCCCCCGCCATCATTTTCATGCACATCGACCCCATAACACAAAAAGAAAACTCTTGGGATTTCCTTGGAAGTCATGAACAGGCGATTCCAACAAGCTTTCAACGCTTTAAAAGAGCATACATGCGTCAACTATGCTAAATTAGCCACCATCGGTGGCCTCGGCAGCGTTGATCTCATCCTCGTAAAGGCCACGGCTCCCACTGACTTGCCTTTGGCGGATAAATACTTCCATCAGCTTCAGAAGATATTCGCCGTGTCACCGCCTTGTTGTCGAGCTTTCTAGCTCAGCTTCGCTCGTCGTTTCGGGAAGACCCGAAGCTGGCGAGTCGCGTTGAAGTGCTTATTCCTCCTTCACCGGCTGCTTCGTTAGTTGCCCGGAGACAGCTCTTTTCGAACCGAACTCTTGATCAACCGATCCAACGGTTCCATCTGCTTGTACCCTTGTCGTTTCCAGGACGTTTCGTCCTCGAATCCCGGAAGTTTCACCATGTTTATCCGGTCGTACGCTCATTTGCTTGACGAAGTCTCCAACGAAGATAATCATCACTCCGGGGTGCCGGAAAGTTCGCCGGATGACGAAACGGAAGAAGTCGGAACGGTGCTCGAGGTGTTGCAACGGATACAAAGCCTGATCGACCGAGTCATCGATTGCCGGCCGACTGGTATAGCAGCCCGAAGCTTCCTGATTCAGACGGCGATGAAACACATCATTCGGGACAGCTTCGTATGCTACACCGTGTTCCGAAAGGACATCGTCATTGTGTTGGAAAACCTGTTCCCGATGCCTTACCGGAGATGCCTATCGGCTTTCGGGATATACAAGAAAGCGGCCTTGCAAGGGAATCAGCTGTGGGAGTTTTATCAATGGTGTAAGCTCATGGGAGTCTGTGGATCCTACGAATACCCATTCGTGGATCGGATCCCATTGATTCAAATCCATGCTCTTGAAATTTTCATCAAAAGCATGTGGGAACAAACAGATGAAGATGATCATCGAGCTTCTTCTTCCTCGTCAACGCCTGAGAAGGTCGATGAAGATGATCATGAAGAAAGGGAGCCGTTGATCCTGCTCGATGATCGTGCACATGATGATGAAACTGAGAACTAGGAAGATATATTGGAAGCTTCAATTGATGGATTCAACGACCACACCCATGGAAGTGGTGGGAAAGAAGAATGGAAGATTGAAGTTCATAATCCTTTCGAGTCTGCAAAATATGTTTTCAGTTACCCTAAATATTCATGGGGAATTTGATTTTGGTTACAACTTTCTTCATTGAGTTCATCAATCCATTACATTAAAAATATGATTATTCTATTCATTTAGGTTTTTAAAATAAATATACTGCGGGCTTGAATTTTTAAATTAAAAATATTTACTTTTTCTAAATATTACTATAATTTTATATAATCACAATTGAATTTGATGATTAAATAAATTGAATAAAGAATCGAATATTTATTTGAATCAATAAATTATCTGAAATTCTTTTCCCATTAATGTAGGATGATTCCAAGGGGTAGTATATGTTTTAAATATTTCCAATCATTTGACAATAAACACTTAAATATTCTATAGATGCTTGAACCTGAAACCTCAAAAAATAACAACTATTATTTTAACCACTAAAATCACTTGATTCCTGTATAAATTATTTTCAATTTTCAATTTATTAATTTGACTTAAAATTATGAATTTACATATAAATTAATTAATTTGATTGTATAAGTTTATAAATAATAATTTAATATTAAAAGATAATAACATATATAATAAAATAAATATCAGAATTTTAGATGTAAAATTTAATCAAAGACTTAATAATAGATTTTCACTAATATAGAAAATAAAAATTATAAAAAATCTCATAATCTTATTTCATCTCGAATCACTACAATTTATTTATAAAGATAATTACTTAATTAAAGAATCATAACAAGAGATATACTCAAATTATGTTTTCTATCCTCAGTTAATATGAAATAGATTATATTTTGGGTAAACTAAACATACAGTACCTAAATAATGAAATAGATTATATATTGGGTAAACTTATATTTCGTTTTAGTACCTAACTTTAGTTTTTTAAATCATATATAATTTTTAATTTTTATTTTATTTTAGTACCATGTCCTTAAAAACTTAACGCAATTAGTGTTTAAACTATCAGTTTGGTTCGTTTTAGTACCTAAAATTTCAATATTTTTAAAAATTAACGTTAAATTTTGAACAATGAAACTAAAATGAAACAAAAAACTAAAATTTAAGTATGGTTTTAAATAAATTAAAAATTTAAGAACTAAAACGGATCAAAACTGATAATTTAGATACTAAATTCATAATTTACCCTTATATTTTTTTACTTTCATTCAAACTAATTCTCTTATATTATCTAAATAATCTTAATTATATAATATTTTTCAAAAATAACATATTTCAGCCCTAAGAGTTTTTCTTTAATCATCATAATCATAACCGACTCAGTCAAAACCTATATATGAGTCAAGTCGTTAAACCCCAAAACCTCGAGTTCAGAGATTCTCAACTTAAAACACTAATAGTAATAAATGAAGTCACTTCAAGTGAAAAAGAAATCCAATTCTTCTTCACCTCTTCACACCAGAAAGTCTTCTTTTTCTCGCTTTACTTTCGATCCAACATATGCACTAAAAACCCAAATCTTTAGATCTCTTTGTTTTTCCTTTTTGATATTAAAACCCATCAATCATCTCGAAGAACACACAGCAAAAGCAAAGGCCAAACATCCATGTTCCAGTCTTCCAGATCTTAGCTAAACTAGACAAAACCGACTCCAATTCTGCCTTCTTTTGCTTTTGCTTTTGCTTTTTCTGTTTGTTGCTTTGTCCCTTAGCTACCCATTTCTTTTCTCATTGCAAATCCTTGAAGGAAACAGTGAATCGTTTTGAGCTATCAGAATTTTGTTTTGTGATTTTTTAAATTTATATACGTTGTAATGCAATCAGGAAACGTAGTTTCATCTGATAAAATGCAGTTTCTAGCGCCTCCAGCTAGAGCTGCTGCCGTCGGAGGAGAAATCCAACAACAGCAGCAATAATGTTCCCCTGACGAGAATGATGGGTTTATCCATTGGTTATGCGGGGAATTCGCCGCCGTCAATGCCATGACCGACTTACTTTGCCATCATCTGCTTGAGATTGGGGAGGCTGGTAAGTATGATGCCGTCATTGTTTCCATTCAGCAGAGGAGATATAGCTGGAATCCCGTGCTCCATATGCAGCAGTACTTTCCGGTCACCGACGTCTCGTGTGCACTCCAACAGGCAGCGTGGAGGCGGAGGCGGAGGCAAAGGCTCCATGATCGAGGGACAGTCGGGGGAAAAAGGAATATAAAAGACTAACCTCTGGGTTCAAGGGAAATAGGGTAGAGCTGGTGTCTAAAGAAATGCCGAACTCTATGGCGGATAGTGATGTGAAATCGACTGTTTCAGAGAGGAATGATGGAGTGGCTGCGAAAGGTGAGGATGTTGAGTGCTGAGGTGGGGAATGTGGAGGATAAATCAGGTTAACTACTTGCTTCATGTTTCTTTCTTTTGTATCTGTTTGCCTCACATTGTGGTGAATCCTGAATTTGTTATCGAATTATACCATGGCTTGTTGTGTAGGTAATTGAAATCTGTATATCTAAAGGATTTTGGGTGTTGAATTGTTGAGTTAGAAACTGTTTACTAGCTTATTCGATCGTGTACTGGTACGAGATATGACTCTTCAAGGATCTTGAACATTATCAATTTTTCTATATCTAAAGAACCTGAAGGATTTTGGGTGTCGATATTGTTGACATTGGAACTGTTTACTACCTTATCCGTAACCCCGACACTCGTGTTGGACCCATATTTGCATATGGGTATGGGAATATGACTCTTTTTAAGTATTTTGTACGAATCCATTTTTGGTCATATGCAGACATGCTTATAGTTGACACTCTCACTTGAGTTTGAGTAACATAGGTTGCCAGATTTGCTTCTTTCTTGGATTAGACATATTATCAGAAGCAAGGAAGTAGCCTTTTTGTTCTTTGATAAAAACTTATATTGGGTGTAGGAGATTAAAGTAATTTTGAACATATATCTTATATCCAACATTGTAACTTGAGTTTCGGATTAGGTATATTATCTGAAACACTTGGAACTCGTTAGTATTTAGTTGTTGTCGCATGTTTGAAACACTCGGAGCTCGGGAATTTTGCTCTCTTTGAATGCATTAGAGTTTTACATTTAGCTCAGTATGTGCTGTTATATTAATTTTCTTTTGCGAATGATCTTTCAGAGAATAACTTACATTCCTCCCAAAGTCAGAATGGAAAGCTGAATCTTGCTACGAGTCCTACAACTTTTGTTGGTAACGAGGTTTTTGATGGAAATATGGCAATTCCTTTGACTTCGATGATAATATATTGTGAAATTCTAGATAAAACAATAGCTTCTTGCTCCTTTTCCCTTATTTTGTTTATACCCCTCATGTGACGATGTTTTTATTATAAGGTCAATGTGGTGGATGGCCTAAAATTGTATGAGGAGCTGTTTGATGAGAAGGAAGTTTCAAATCTCGTTTCATTGGTAAATGATCTTAGGGCTGCAAGGACAAGAGGACAATTTCAAGGCAAGTTCTCCTTTTGGGAACTTCTAGTTGTTTCCTTGATTATGTTAACTCTACCCTCAAGAGTCCGGCTACCATAGGTCGAAGGTGATGGTATTTCTTTTACTAGCATTATGTGACAATTTGACGAGAAACAGATCAGACAGACGTGGCTTTGAAATAACCCATGAAGGGACACGGCTGAGAGATGATTCAATTGGGCCTTCCAATTGCAGAAGCACCTCTAGATGCTGCTGCAGGGACTTCCAAAGGCACGTTTCTATGTATTTAATCTTTCTTTAATGAATGATTTTAATTCCTTTTGAATTTGTTTGAGGTTTAGCAGATTGGACGACGGAAGCCATTCCTGCCTTGCTGCAAGATGCTATTGAACGTTTGGTCGAATTGCAAGTTATGACTGCAAAGCCCGACTCTTGCATCATCGATGTCTATAATGAGGTTGGTAAAGATGGTGCTTCTTGTGGTTTTATACAAAACGAGTTAAGCTTTAAGGATGCAGCTATGGTGGCTTTTTCTTTCTAGGGGGATCATTTGCAGCCTCGCACGTGGCCACCTTGGTTCGGAAAGCCTGTTTGCCTCCTGTTCTTGACTGAGTGCAACATTACTTTCGGAAGGGTAATTGCAGTTGATCATCCCGAGGACTTTCGAGGCTCTCTAAAGCTTTCTCTTGCACCCGGGTAATCGTTTTTCCATTTCCGGATATGAACACATTCGATCCTTAAAAATTTGTGCATGTTTGGAATTTAAGCATTTAGTCGATCCTGAAAACTGGTATTAACGCTTCAAAGATATTTCGAGTTCCATAGGATTCTTTTGTTTTGTTTTATGGTCCTTAGATTGTGTTATTTCCTAACTATCATGCAGATCGCTCCTTGTAATGGAAGGAAATCAGCTGGTTTTGCCAAGCATGCCCTGCCCTCTGTCCAAAACCAACGTATACTTGTTACCTTTACCAAGTATCAACCGAGGAAGTTTGTGTCCGGCAATCAGAGACTTCCTTTACCTATGCTTTCTCAGTCTTCACAGGAGGGTCTGGCACGTAATAGACCGCCCAATCATTTCCGACCTGCTGCCGGTCCCAAGCATTATGCAGTGGTACCAACAACTCAGCCACAAACTCCACCTCCGAATGGTGTTCGACCTTTCTTTGTGCCTGCTCCAGTTGCTCCTGCAATTCCTTTCCCGGCACCGGTTCCCATCCCACCTGGTATGACCACTTGGCCGGCTCCTCCTCCAAGGCATCCTCCACCTCATCAACCTGTTTCCAGCACCGGAGTATTCCTACCTCCACCAGGCTCCGATAATTCATCACAGCTGGTCCTGGAACAAAGCTCGTATGGAAAATCGCAAAACCAAGACTGCACGGTGGTTTAGATAGAAACATTGAGGTCAAATGGTCCATGCAAATTTAAACACATTTTAGTAATCAATATTCGACCGATATTAATTTTTTGAGCTCCTCGTTAATAAAAACTTCAAATATAGATAATATACGTAATGGATCTCAATATGCTGGTACTGCATTACGAAGCCTGGGCTACATTATCATTTTTCAAGGATTTTCCCAGGAAAAGTTTCAATTTTTCTCAGCTCTCCAAGTGCATTTGAAACTAAAACATTACAAGATTGGGGGAAAAAAGAGATCGCTATTTTCCTTTTCGAATGATTTAATCTTGGTCGAATTGCTTAAGCATTTGAGAAATGACAAGAGTCTGAGATGGTGGAATTGGAGGAGGAGCATGCTTTCCGATAAGAGGCTCCGCCGATACGTTGTTGTCACAGGTGAGCATGTGATGCCTTTTACGTATCGCTCTTACCGGTGGCTCCGCCGCCGTCACTGCCACATTTCTGTTATTCACCATCTTCGGTTGCTCCGATCTCTTCCACGAACTCTCTGCTGCGACCCTTTCTTCGTGCGCTTTTCCACCCTTCAAAAAACAATACATACTTCAAATATCATAAGGAAATGATTATTCTAAAGCAAAACCGCCATTACTGATTACCAATGATTGCAAAGTAAAAGTGTCACGTACACCCATGGAAGAAGAAGAAGCAGACATGGGGCATTTCACAGGCCGATCTTCATCTTGAGGTTCCACGGGATGTTCGACGGGCCAGAAGAAATCGACGTCCAATTCCACAGCATTCGGTTGCCGGAGGATGTCCATGTCCATTCCACCACCGTCGAGTCCCGACTCCCAGCTCCGCCGCCTCAGAGGAACTCCACTTTCCTTTATATCGAGAGAAGGGAATTGTGGGGAGAAACAAGAGGGAGTGAAGCTCATGGCACCGATGGAGACAGGAAAATCTTACTTTGTATCGTAACGGCGAGAGATATAACGGAAAATAAAGAAGAAGAAAAAGAAGAGAAAGGGAGCATCAAAAGAAGCACAAGCAAAGACAAAGAGAGAGACAAGCCCGTGTGGGATCGGTTGTACAGTTATACACCATCAAAGGTCCCTCCCGAGAAATATATTATAGAATAAAGGGTAAATTACGTGTTTAGATCTAAATTATTAGTTTTGGTTCGTTTTGCTATCTAAACTTTTAGTTTTTTCAAATATACTTAAGGTTGCGTTTTTATTTCATTTTAGTACTCGACGTTAAAGACTAATGGACAGACTTATGGTTGTCATGTCTACGGTCGTCATATCCATCGGCCAATGAAGCTCAAACTTTTCAGTCTGTAACTTTTTGATCCACCGAATGTGATTCTGACATCTGTTTTATCGAAAAATATATCAATCTCTCTAAATTGATGATGAACTCTTCAACTTCTTCATCCTCCGATCTCCTTCATCAACTGTCTGATGAGTCTAAAACTGGACTATATTGGTCTACTTGTTATTCTCTTGTGATCCACCGTTCGGATTGTCGTCAGTCCACCTATGCCCCGTCAACCCGTCCATTAAGTTTTTAAAGGTGAGTTACTAAAATGAAACAAAAACTAAACGTTAGTTATGTTTTTTTAAAAAAATTAAAAGTTTAAGTACTAAAACATACTAAAATTAATAGTTTATGTACTAAATATGCAATTTACCTTAGAATAAACTACATCATATATATTAAATGTTACAAAATATTCATTAAACTTTATCAAACTATTAAAAATGATCAGTAAATTGACCCAAGAACTTTAAACATTCCAAATTCGTTCCTAAACTATGACCCTCATTCTATATGTCTCCAAACTTTTAAATGATCAAATTTCATCCCCAAACTATCGAATGATTTTGGGTAAGTTATTGGAATGTTCAACTCTTGGGGGGCTAATTTATAACAAGGGTCATAGTTTGAGGACATTATTTGTTGAGTCCGTCGACTATAAAGTGTTACTTTGTTGAGTCCGTCGACTACTAAAAGTTACAAAATGGTCACCAACTATTCATTATGTTTCAAACTCCTCTTTTTCTGTTAAAAAATTATGGTATTCTAAGTTGAACGTTGACTTGTTGATTATGATATAATAAAATTTTATCTCATTATTTCAAACGACTATTATATTTCAATCATCACATTAACGTCCGACCTAGACAACCATCAATTTTTTAACGGGAAATGACGAGTTTGAGACATAATGAATAGTCGAATGACCATTTTATAATTTTTAATATTTGAGGGACTTAACAAAATAACATTATATAATCAGATGATCGTCTTGTAACTTTTAATAGTCGAGTAAATTAATAAAACAATACTCTATAGTCGATGGACCATTTGTGTACTTTACCCCAAATTAAATCGGTTAAAATCATAAATATATGTGTTCGTATTATGAACAGTTTACGTATTAGAAAACATCCTTAACTAAAACAACATTGTATCACTACAACAAAATAGGGCTATAGCGGCATTTTTTCAATCATATAGCGACGTTTTTAAGCGCCGCAAAAAGTATTCCTGACAGAAACAAAAGCACCGCAAAAATGCCACAAACATTAGAGGTGTTTGTAAATGGAAAACGCCACAATAGGTTCTTACTTTTAGCGGCGTTTGTTTTCAAAACGCCGTAACAAGTGTGGAAATTTAGCGGCTTTTTGTACAAATGCCGCAACAGATTATGACATATAGCGGCATTGTATAAACGCCGCTAAAGGTTATGATATTCAACTGTGTTTTTTGTATAAACGCTGCAATAGGTTATTATATTTAGCGGCGTTTTTTCTATAAAGGTTATGATATTTAACGACATTTTTTATATAAACGCCGCAAATGTGTACTCCTCATTTTTCATCCTTAAACTTTGTTAATCAAGAATCATTTACAAATGTTCATTTTATACTCTTTATTGCCCAAATTTAACATATCGTGTAACAGTTAACATCCAATAACAACCTTGATATGTCTCAAATTAAGTACTTAAAACATAAATAAATAAAGTTTACAAACCATTCAAGTAATGTAGTTCAACATTAAGTCAAATGTAATATAGTTCAACATTAAGTGAAATGTATATCGTTCAACAACTATAATAAACTGAGCATGAACCTAACAATCACCTAGGGTGGTGAATTTCACAGTTTTAATTGCTGCATCATCTGCTTCACATCTTCAAGTTGTTTTTGAAGTTAATCATATTTTAGCTGATATGTTGTTTCTCTCTCTTCTCTCGCTTCTCGTTCTGCTTTTCTATCTCCAACTTCGGCTTTTACTTGTGCAAAATTTTCATCCATCTCAGTCATCTATTGTTTCAATCGAATAACTTCTGATTGAGAAGATTGACTCTGTGATGGCATGTACTGAGACGAACTGAATCCAAAATATTTGGATGGGGTAACGAATGATCCCTGGCAACGAACTCGACCATATCTTTCAGGACCAAAAACTTCAGCAATAACTTGATTTTCAATCTCATCCACATTGTTGGAACCATGACATGAAGTTGTCGATTCATACTCAATCATTTTATTATTCAATTTCCCCAAAGAAACAATTAAGAATTTAGAATAAATTCAAACGTTATTTAAAATAAAAATGTTCTACTATAAATATAAGTATAACATAATTCGTTACCCTTTCCGATTAACCTGCAACGATCACGATTTCCAACTCTACTGCTGAAACAACAGGACAATGATGAACTTCCACGCCAGATTATACTACGTCAAGTGAATCACCTACGACGATCACACGATTCACCTCGCCGACGTTAATTTGGCCAACGGCAATTGCGGCCCACCGTACCGATCGTTATCGATGGGGAAGATCGAAATGGATGATCGATACATGTCGGTTAATATTAGTTACTCGTATACTATAAGCTATGTTCGATGTTCTTCGAACGATACCAACAATTTGGTTGGTGACAACAGAGTACCATGTTTGAGTCAAAATTCATCTGATGTTTATGTCAATATGAGTTGGTCTCGATTGACCTCGTCCGATGTCCCGAAAACATGTAAGGTCATCGATGCAGTGCCTACTATTACGAAGAACCGTTACCGGAGTACGTCTCCTATAAAACGGCATTGAAGATGCAGGAATTAGGATTTCGGATGAGATGGTCCGTTGAGTGTCGAGATTGAAGGTGGCATTGTTAGATATTAAGCCTCAAAATATACTGTTGGATGAGAATCTCAGACCCAGAGTTTCAGATTTCGGGCCAGCGATATTGTACCCGAACAAGCATGATTTCATGACATTGTACGGAAAAAGTGAAACAATGGGGTATACGGCACCTGAATTGATGATTTCAAGGCCATGTTATGCAAATCCGATGTTTACAGTTCCGGAATGATGATGCTAGAAATGGCATGCGGAAGAAGGCATGTAGACGTCGATGCAATCAATTCGAGCAAAGTGCATTTTCCTAACTGGGTCTATGAACTAAAGGAGAGGGGAGATTTAGAGTTCGAGAACCTGACAGAAAGTGGTGTATTAATAGCCCAAAAGTTGTTCATAATCGGATTATGGTGCACTCAAACTCCACCATCGGATCGCCCCTCCATGACCAGAGTCCTGGAAATGTTACAAACGAACCTCGATGATCTGGAAATGCCTCCCAAACCAGTCTTGGCTGAATACCTGTGTGAAACAACACCAGAGTCCGAAAGAGATGCTATTACCTGAGACAGTGGAGAGAAGCTCGTAGTAATATCAAAGCATTTCTCCACTACAATTCTTTCAACTTGCTACTGTAACTCACCATTAAAGCTCTTCACCAGTCTAAGCTTTCATATGTACTTCGTTTGTATATGTTCTTCACAAACTCGTATAACGAACACTTCCCTAATTTGACAAAAATCTGCAGCTTCTTCGATTCTTACAGCAGATTTGACATGGCTAAATTCTCGTTGGCATATGGCTAAATCCTAGGCTATCAACAACTATATTCCTCGGAAAAAAAACACACACCTAGGGATGACAGTGGATCTGATATCGGAAAATTTGAAACATACAGTAAATTTAACATATGAAAGATGTTGGAACAACATATCAAACGATAAGACTTTCAAAAAGTTTAAACATAAATGCAAAAATGTCATACATGTCGGTTAAAAGATAGCAAGGGAAAGCAGGGATTGGCTGCCAGTCTTTAATCAGACTTTCCAGGTGACCGAAAGGGGGTTATCCGAACAAGATCCGGCAAACAAAAACTCATTCGAAAATTAAAAGTCTGTGACCGGAATAAATGGATGTTCTTAAAGCATAAGCATAAAAGAAAAACTACAGAGTTTGAAAGAACCACGGTGGCCACATGAGTATATACAAGTGAAGCAGACCATAAGTGATGAAGCTCAACTATCATTACCACGGAGTTTAAAGCTACCTAATAGTGACAAACTTGTTGGTACCGTGTCTTGCCCAATGGCTCCTCAAATCAATTGGATTACTAAAGTTATAATTTTCAGCTGCGAGTTTCTCGAGGAGCTTCTTGAATGCCCCCTGACTCATTTTCCGGCCAGCTATCCTTGCACCACGCCTTTTGGTGCTCATTGGCAACGGATACATGGAAACGTTTGTGGTACAACAAGCAGATTGCCAACCACCACAGCCCCATCGATAACATTGCTGAGGGGTTCCAGTGCAGGAGCAAACCGGAATCGGAATACCTGAAATATCCATGTCGAACCCATTTATTTGAAAATCGATACTCTTCTTTGCTGGCTTCGAACGTTGAACTGTAGAATTGGCATTTTCATTTGGCTTCCTAGGCTTTTTGGCCTTTGGCATCTTAGGGACAGCCCCATCTTGCCTTTTCCTCGGCTGAACACCATCCTTACTAGCTGGCAGCTCTTCGACTCTACTCACCACCATCTCATCTCTTGTTGAAGAATCAGGTGGTGGCTGCAAATTCGACAATGAATGAGCTGTCGAGGTTTCAGGAAGAATGCCATAACTGGGGCCAGTGGCCGGAAACACGCTAAAAAGCTTCTCTCTATCATTAGTCCAACTATTCCGAACATAATTCATGGGGATATGTGCCTCAGAAACAACACAATCCCGAGGGTGAAAGGCTGCATTGGTAGTAACCATGAGATTGGGGTCACGACCGGTAATAAAGGGCTTCGTGTCCCGTTCAACCATGCTCGACATTAGCTGCAGACCGAGATGTCCTTTAAAGGACGGTTCATAGTAACCCCAATTACGCATATTTAACACATCATCATCCATGAAGCTACATATAGTTAAACAACACAACAGAATTATTAACCTTTTCCCACGATTCAAATTATTCCATCAACGCCATTCAAATACCGACGAATAATGCATACAAAATAGAAGCTAAATTGAAAGAAAAAAAAGGAAACATCAAAACAGAGTCCAAGGCTTCAACAATGAAATGCGTTGCGGTTACATGACGGGAGATCAGATCCAATTACATACAAAGATAGATAACGATCACACAAACAACATCAAAAAATTCAAATGACAAATAATCTGTTTGATTCCTGAGAAAACAAATGGAAAAAAAATTTAAGCTAAATTTCAAGAGGGAATATCCACATTTTCGCACATCCAGTATATAGAAGATATGGGAGAAAAAATAAGATTCCAAAGAAGCAAAAATGGAAATCTAATGATACCAATATAGAAAAAAATTGGAAACTTTCAGATTCAAACTATGTTATAATTGCCCACATTTTCCCAACATCAAAACTTTCCATGCATCAAAACCCATAATCAGATCTACTAAATAAGGCATACAAAACACAAAAACAAAATATTTATGGGGAAAATTGAATCTTTGGTGTTTTAGGATTTCAAATTGGGAACTTCATCAGAACCCTAGACCTAATTCAAAATCCCACCATCAAAGCTCAAATCAAACAAACAAATGATAAATAAACAAAATATATTAATAGTGTAACAAATGAGTTGGGACCCATAATTCCAAAAAAATAATTAGAAAAGGGAAAGCAATGAGAGATAAAGAAGCCACCAAATGGAAAATAAAATAAAAGGAATGAAAGGGAGATTTAAGTGAGAGGAAAGATAAAATCTTACTTTGGGATGTAGTCCGTGTAGATGGATCTTTAGGGCTTGCCCTTTCTGGAGAGAGAAAGAGGAGAGAGAAAGAGGAGAGAGAAAACTCAGAGGAAAAAATAACTAAAAAGAGATAAGAGAGAGAGAGATATGAGAAAATTAAAGGGAAACTATGAAAGAGAAAGGGAGAAAGGAAAGAGACTAAAGTATAAAGAGATAAAATAAACATTTAGGATTTCAGATATTTTTGTTTGATAACTTTTGGATAAATTATACTATTTCTCATTGAACTTTAATTTATTTCTTAATTTATTCATCAAACTTTAAATTTTTTTAATTTATTCACTGAACTTTAAAATTATTCTTATTTTGGTCACTATATCATTAAGTAATCAACGACGTAATTTTATATCTCTAAAAGAAATGAAATTTAAATCAAAACGGTGTAATTTTAGTTTAAATTACAAAAATATATATATTTTTTCTTTTCTATCCCTTTTCTTCTTTCTTCATTCAAAAAAAATCTCCTTAAAGAATATGCCATCCTTAACCCCAAAGGCTCACAACTTTACATCTCTTCCTTCAATTTGATCTTTACTCTCAAAACCCAATCGATGAGAGCATCGAGATGATGTTGGGATGAAGCAGAGGTCGGAACTCATAAAAGATTCGATGATTGATGCTGTTGGAGAGATCAAAAAGGGAAGGGAAATGGTGGAGAGATTTTGAGCAATGGCAGTGGAGAAATTTAAGAATTTTTATTTTTATTTTAAATATTACATGTCATAATTAAATATTAATAAAAATATATATCATTGTGATATATTCATAAAAAAGTCACATCATCCGGTTGTTACAAATTTAACGGTGAAGTGAGTAAAATAATTTAATTCGTAAAGTTTAATGAACATGATATAAAAATTGAAAGTTGAGTGAATAAAAAAGGGAACGGTGTAATTTACCCAGACTTTTTTTTATTGCTATTGTACTTGGATTTATGATTAAAAAGTTAAATTTAGTGTGAATAAACTTAAAATAGTGAAATTTTATTATATTGTTTATTTCAAAGAAAAATTAAAGTTAAGATTAATAAGATATAAATTTTGTTTAGTATATTTTATTAATACGAGCTAAATACAAGATAATATTAGTTTAAAGATAATTATTAATCATTTGATATTGAATATTAAACTCGTAAATATTCAAGTTACTCAAATCCGATATCTCAAAGAATAAAAAAAAACTTTTACCATAGAAGTCGTTTAATTAATAAAAAATTTAATTTTATTAAAAGTATATTCTAAAAATAATAAAATACTAAAATAGATGAGATACAATTGAAGATTTTTTCAAAATAAATGTTTAAAACTTTTAATATTTCATAAATATTTTCATCATTTTATATTTTATTATATGTTAGTTTGTAAAAAAAAACGTTCAAAGTCGTTTGTGGTGGACATCAAAGTGCAGGTAAGATAAATCAAAGGGTAGGATACGAACATTTTATGCTTAAGTATGGGCCCACGTTTCATGCTCATGTCGGGGATAAATCAAAGGTTAACTACATCAAATGTCCCCAAATAATTCTGTAGGTTTTAAATTGGTATCTAAACTTTAAACAATTTTATTTGAGTCCTAAGAATATCAACAAGATCTTTTCACCAATCTAACCATTAATTTAGACATCAAATACCAATATTCCTCTATAAATACAGGAAGGAAGATGACATGTCATTCCTTAACACTTCCCTCGTATGTTCTCTAATACTAGACCCTACTCATTTCGAGTTTGCTAACACAATTGTTAAAATCTCGACGTTTGCGGCTCTCTACATACGATATGAACTGCCACGAGAATCACCCCAACACTCAACCCAAGCAATAGTTTTCGGAAAGTTCGAAACGTGTGTGACATTATATTTTGTTTGGAACTTGTATATGATGCTCTAATTGAAGGTGTGACAAGCTTCTATATGTTTTAATGGTTAAATATAGTGACAAAATTATGATACATGGAAAATAACAAAAGAATACATAGTCATGCGATAATATACGGCGGAGGCAATTTGCCTCACATCATACAAATGTGTGCAAAAAGTTCCCTTCCTAACATAATGCACATAACATCAAGAAGAACTTGAACATGTGCAGAAAATTTTACAAGTTCTATCAAGTGCATGCAACGAAACTCCAAGTTTAATTTATTCATGCAATCACCTCTAAAAAGCTGCTGCATTTAACAAGCTGAAATTTGCATTCCGACATCTTCTGTTAAGTGTCTGCAATGAAACTCAAATTTCAACCCGATTGGTTCATCCGACATCTTCCATTAAGTGCAGACACTTAAACTCAAAGTTTAACCTAACTGATTCATGCAATCACCTTCATATAACGGCAGCCACAAGCTTACGGATTCGAATTCCAATGTCTTCTATTTAGTGCATGCAGTGAAACTCAAAGTTTAGTTCAATTGGTTCAGGAAATCACCTTTGAAAAATGACACCTAATAGGTAGGCCTGTAAATGAACTGAACGTTCAGTGAACCGTTCGTGAACCGTGCGGCGGGAAGTTCGTTTATGTGCGTTTATTTATTAAATGAACGAACATGAACAAGATTTTGTGTTCGTTTAATTAAATGAACGAACATGAACATAAGTCTCGTTCGTTCATTTACGTTCGGTTATGTTCGTTTATGTTCGTTCGGTTATGTTCATTTATGTTCATTCATTTATGTTTAACCCAATCTTCTTAAATCAATTTTGGTGACCAATTTGTAAGTATCTTAAAAATATTAATTAATCTGATATTCTGATGACCAACTCCATAATTAAGCCAATTTTATTTGGAGATTAAATTCAATATGTTAACCCGTGAGGCACCTCGCACCTATATTCATTTCCCCCCTTTTTTTCCCAAACTCTAGTGTTTACTGGAGAGTGTAGACGATTGCTGAAAGCTTCAAAACAAGTTATATTATAGTGCAATCTGAAGTTTTACAGGTATATTTTCATCTCTTTCTCTGTTTTATTTGACTTAATAGTTGATATATAAAGTTATTGCGGGTATCTTCACATCTAAAACTCAAGAAACATCATAATTCTTTCTAGAAATAGATAGGAAGATAAAGGTAACAATCGAAAATATATGAACATCAGCAAAGAGAAAAATATAGAATTTGCTAGAAAACAAAACAAATGTTTCTATGCAATTTCTAAAAAGAGTGTAATAGCGGAAGTAATGGGTTTTCTAGGAAGAACCCATTAATAAGTAGAAAATACACTTTAACAATGAACTTTTGTTTTCATAGTTCTTGTGTGACCTTTAGTTGTGGAGTAGACTTTAGGTACATTAAAATTTTGAATGGTAGTTTAGCAATAATATCAGTTACGATATGTAGCATCGAAGGGATTTCGGATCTATGTTATTGCCTTGTAGTCCAATTTGTACCGTTCGAAATCTTCATGCTGTTAAATTTTCTACTCTGCCAACGGAAATGACCATTATTAACAAACCTCACTAAAGTCTGATATTGATATCACAAAACTTTTAGCCGATGAATTTATTAGAATAAAGTAGTCGAAAATGATTGTTCATATATAATCATGGACCACTAAGATAAATGTTATAGCGTTAGATTAAAGTCATGTGAATCATTTAATATCTTTAAAAGATCGATCGAAATATTTGATATCTTCAAACATTTCATTACTGCTAATCAGCTCTTACGCTATTTATCACTGTAGATTTGGTTGATTTGCATTGTCGACTATCTTTCATGAAAGAACAATGGAAGGTAGGGTCTCCAACGTTTATGTTCGTTTATGTTCGTGTTCATTTATGTTCGTGTTCGTTTATGTTCGTGGTCGTTTATGTTCGTTTATTTATTAAATGAACGAACATGAACAAGTTATATTCCTTAATAAACGAACATGAACAAAAAAAAATTTGTTCGTTTATGTTCGTGTTCGTTTATGTTCGTTTATTTATTAAATGAACGAACATGAACATACCTCCGTTCGTGTGCGTTCGGTTCGTTTACAGGCTACTAATAGGTGTCTAAAGATCAAATTCCAGCATCTTCTATTAAGTGCATGCAGTAGATCTTGAAGCTTAACTTGATTGGTTCATGCAATCACCTTTAAAAAAAATGGCATCCGACAGGTTTGAAGTTTGAATTCTTAACAGATGTAACTTTTTTTCTCGTATCCTCAAACTGCAATTTTCTATTGTAGGCTTCTACGACAGAAACAATGCCTCCAAATAATCATCAACGTAAGCTAAGCATGGCCAGTGACCGGTTCTAATACGAACTAAAGTTGAAGTATCACTTACTTCCATTTGGAACAAGAGATGGAACTTCGGGGGGAAATCAAGACGTAAATGCAACCCGTACTTCTTTTGCCGATGTTTAACTGGCTTTCCTGCTCGTCTTCATTTTCGACAAAAGTAAGATAGAGAGGCATCGTGTATTGATTGGTAACTGACGAGGTAGCATCAAGCAAAAGGCCTGGGAGGTCATCTTTCTATATGATGTCCTTGATAATTCCTCTATCCTTTACCATCTTAACAAGACGCTCACCACTTACGCTTACTACAAATGGTGCCAGATAACGTTCGGTAGCATGAATTAGTGAATCCGGAGGAATTTCAAGCAGCTTCACAGATTTCGTTCCATTGACAGCTGCAAACCCCTTGCCATTTTTTAGGGGGAAAGTCTCCCGCCCGCTGTTGGAAGTAGTGCCACATGCGTCCCACAAAGCATTGAACAAGTCTGAGTAATAATCAGGTAAAATATCTTACCTTGTGTCTGGTGGGGAGATAGCTTTGAGAAATAAGTCTTCAATGCCCACCATAATACTTTGCAGCTGGCCGGTGATGATCTGACCATCTTCCCCGTTTGTTTCGATGAAAACATCAATCACACCAGGTGTAGGCTCACGTGGTTCCAGCTCAATCATTGCAGGGGCTTTATAGATCTATTCACCAAAATCATCGTTCGTAGCAACGATGTCTAGTGAATCAGTTCCAGCGGGTAAATAACCACTCACCGTAGGTTGACCGAGAAGAAAAGGTGTACGACAAGGTGGTATAGACCGATACTGAGCCAGTGATG